AGTTTGCTACCTGCAGTCAACTGTGTTCCAAGATTAAGTGAAAAACTCCAGAAATAAGCCATTTATAACGTTTAAATTGCATGCAACTCTGAGCAGGGTGATGAAATCTCACACCGCCCTGCTCTGTCCCACCAGACACAGGGACCAGCCCTGTGCCCAGCGTGTCCCTACTGTATATGCCACCTGCCTGTTAGCCACTTACTAGTGGCCTCCGATATCACAGAAACTGTTGTGGTATCGCAGCGCTTATGTTCAAGTCACCTTTGTGTTTTATTTAATAATGGCCCCAGAGCACAAGAACAGCGATGCCGGCAATTCAGATATGCCAAGAGAAGCCATAAAGTACTGCCTTAAGTGAAAAGGTGAAAGTTCTCCAATTAATAAGGAAAGAAAAAGAATTGTACACTGAGTTTGGTAAGACCTACTGTAAGAACAAATCTTCTACCCATGAAATTGTGAAAGAAGAGAAATTCATACTAATTTTGCTGTCACACCTCAAACTGCAAACGTTATGGCCACCATGGGTGATAAATACATAGTTAAGATGGAGAACACGTGAAATTTGTGGGTAGATGATGAACAGAAAACATTCTGATTGACGGTGCGTTGAGGCTAGAAAGCACTGAGCCTATAAGAACACTTCAACAAGGGATCCCCTGAGAGGAATGACACCTAGCCATTCACTGCAAGCAAAGGGCGTACACAGATTCGGGAATACATTCCAACTGAAAAACATAAGAATTACTGGAGACGTTGCAGCTGCCAATGAAGAAGCTGCTGCCATATTTCCAAGAGAGTTAAATACCGGTAAGTTGATTAAGGAAAAAGATATGTATGTATAGGAGAAAACATACTATATTAACGTATGTTAGGTAGGGTTCGGTACTTCCATGGTTTCAGTTATCTACTGGGGTCTTGGAACATACCCACTGTACATAACGGGAGGACTACTGTACCCAAAAACAGAATGATTCGACTCCAGTCGTAGGGTATTGTTACTGAATAAGTCAACGTTGACATTTTCGTGGAACAATCTGTGCTGTGCATTTCAAGAAAGCTGGCATCCCTTTCCTACTATATACCCGGGGTACCTCACAACCATTGTGCAAAAACAGCGAGGAAATTCTCCATAATTTCTAAATGCCCTTTACTCACAGGGGCAATACTAAACCTAGCTGAGAACCACTGTCCAATGTATATATATCCCGGTTATTTCCTTATCAGTATTGTTCATTATAATAAAAGACTGGAAATAACATCCACTAGAAGAGAATGGATAAGCTGTGGCATATGAATACAATGGAATACTATAATACAGCAATAAAATGAGTTAGAAAACCATATTGGACAATAACAAAATATAGACAGCTGAAGAATACACACAATATGATTCCATTTAGATAAAATCTGAAATGAACAAAACTAAATAAGAGCTGCTCAGAGATACATGCATATGTGATAGAACTACTAAAATAAGGGAAGTGAATGATAAGTTTCAAGATAGGGTTCCCTTTTCAGGATGGAGTTTCCTTTGGAGAGAAGAGCAGGGTGCAATTAAGGAAACACACAGGACTTCTGTTTCTTAAGTTCAGTGATGGACACACTGGTGTTTGTTTTATTGTTATTGTTTACACTGTGCATACTCTAAGATATGTGTAGTTCACAACTTTTAAAAGTTAGCTCTGTGTTAAAGGCAATAATATAGTATCATTCCCTGCCTGATGTCCCTGTCATTTGTGAAAGCACAGAGAAATAAATGAAGCTGCTGACATGGCAGTGCCAGCCCTGGACCACAACCCTGCAATATTCTTTTACTTTTTAACTTATTCTCCCCTCACCTTATTTGCTAATAGGATGAACTCATAGGCAAACAGAGACAAAATCTGTATGTATCACCTCACACAGTATTCCAGTGAGGTGACAAAATAGTATTCCACACACATACACTTTCTAGATAACTCAAACTCTTAATCTCTCATATTTGTACAGTAATTACGAGTTTGTAATTATAATAAATTTGACTGAATGCTTACTACATACCAGGATCTGTAGATAAGGTACAATTTTTGCTCTAAAAGAGTTTACCACTCAGGCATAGGCAGGTAGGAGAGGGGAAACTGTAAGTAGTAAACAAGTACCACTCAGCTGAATGAGCACTGCAATCGATTTAAAGAAAAATAAGGAAGTGGTCAATTTAAGATAAAGCTCAAGAGATTTTTATAGAGAAGCTGTATCTTACAGGGTTATGAGGAATTTCATTGGCAGATATTGGAAGAAAGGAAACATCAGAACGAAGGTACCAATATAACCATAGGACAAAACGCAGAGAACTTAAAAACTTATGTAAAACACTGTTAGTAATGGGGTGCGCTGAAGAAAGCCTAGCTAGAGAGTTTGTGGGCTTCTTTTTTTAACAGACAAAGTCATGGAAGCGTTATAAGGAATAAATTTGGTTTTTAAAAGATTGCTTTGGCAAAAGAGTAAAGAATCAACTGGAAGGAGTGGTGTGGAGAGTCAGGAGGCACGGAGATGACAGAAGATAAGGCAACTCAGAGAACCTAAGAATGAGGCAGCCAAACAGAAGAATAAAGAGGAAAGACAAAATTTACAGTTACATGGGAGAATTTAAAAAGTACCAACAAAATCAGCTGAGTAACTGAGAGAGTTACTACAATTGAAACAACAGTTAAAAAGATAGACTGGAACGAGAGGCTGATGTTATAAAAGTCAAAGAGGGGCCAATAACTTGAACTGACATAGAAAGCACAAGTAGAATACAATGAATAATCTTAAATCCCTGGATATGGCGGCAAGGAGGTCACTGTTGACCTCCGTCAGCAGTTCCAAGGAAGTGAAGGCACAGAAGCCTGGCTGAGGCAAACTCAAGAGTGAAGTATGCTAAGGAATAGGGTTTTTCTAGACTAGTTAAGAGATAATTATGTTTGTTTTTTTAATCCTCACTCGAGGACATGCTCACCAATTTTAGAGGGAGGGAGAAACATCAATGTGACAGAGAAACATTCACTGGTTGCCTCCCTTACGTGCACCAACCAGGGGGACTCTCCTACGTGCCGCAACTGGGACCGAACCTGCAACCTAAGCCTGTGTGCCCTAACCAGGAATCCAAACTTTTGAACTTTTGGTGAGTTTCTGGTTTACCTGATGATGCTCTAACCAAGTGAGCCACACCAGCCAGAGAGATAGTTATGCTTTTAAATGGAAGACTTGTGTGCATATTTTTGGGTTGTAATGAAAATACGGCACAGAGAAGGGATGACTGATGGAGAAAGTTCTAGAGGCGAAAGGAAGAGATGAATAGGCTCAAACAATCAGTGAAATAAACAGAACAAGTGAAGGAACCTTTCTTACTGTGAGACAGATATTCAGGCACAGACTGTTCATTCAGCAGATGTTACTAAATATCATTTCATATTACCAGAGTTGTAACATTTTAAAAGTCTGATTATATCAAGTACTGGTAAGAAAGTGAACAATGAGTACTGTGTCAAGTGCTAAGGGGTACAAGATGTACAATGTAACTCAGACCCTGCCTTCAAAGAATTCACTGCTTAGTGGGAAAAATACAGGAATTTTCATATACCATTATAAGTTTAAATACGGTCAAATGAAAAGGGCAGTGTGGTAGCGCAGAGGTTAGGGGAAAGACTGGAACGGCAGGGAATTCCTGCTTGGTATTTCCTCTGTGAAGTAGGAGGTGAAGTTACCAGCCAAGGTTTTGGGGGGTGGGTGGGTTGGAGGTGGTAGGTGATGTGTAGAAAGGGATGAATGTTCAAAAGAGTTGCTAAAAAAAAAGTTTCTCAGATAACAGAACCATAGCAACTTTTATTCAAAATTTACTATGTTCTGAGTACTAACCGCTTTAATACATATTACCACTTTGACTCTTAAAACAATCCTATTATTTTTATTTTACCAATGGTTAAAAACTAAGAGATGCTAAGGACTACACTGAGAATGAAAACTGCTTTTTGTAAGTAGCAGGAATGTACGTGATTGTGCCATTATCTCCTTGCTGTGCCTCTCAGACCAAGAACTGACCCAGCAGCATGCGTTTGTAGGATTAAGGAAGATACAGTGGAAGGATGAGGAAAATAGTAGGTGAAAGATACTGGAAAGAGAACAATTTATGTAGTTGATCATTGAGCTCAGGGAAACAAGGCAGACTTGGAAAAAGAAATGAAGGAATGAATAAATCTGAGACCACTTAGCAATATTAACACACTTAGTAAAATACCAAGTTGAGGGAAGGAAAGAATTTTTAAAATTTTCTGACAAAAAGAGTTTAAGATGATGACAATGGCTAAAATGGACCATGCACTGAGTTCCTTAAAAGAAGAGTCATTAAATTGGATGAGGTCAAAATTTACCTCCAATTTCAATGTTATTTTCACTATTCCACAGCTGCCTATACCTCGTAAGGCTTTACCTATCAACATTTGGTCTATTTTTTATAATTATGTAATTCCTAGCCTTAATAAATGAGCATGTATATCAATTCCCCCTGTTCTTAATGATTTTAGGTCATCACTATTATCATCACATTACGAAATTCTTCCATTTCTTCCTTTGAGGCAGCTTTCAATTTTCACTGCTGTCAGTATACCTGCTACTCATTTCTAATTTGGTATAATATGAAACAAAAAAAAATGTTTTCAATCAAAACTGGGTAACAACCAGAAAGCTTAATTTTACACTGAACACATCTAAGGATATTTTATTTCCTTTCTATGAATTAAAGATTAGGGATCGCGACAGGGCTTTTGATGCTTCCAAGTGGATGGGGTAACCCCAATGTTACTCACGCGACTGATCAACTGGAGTTCTAGATAATGTTTTTCCGAAAAACTCTAATTCATATTGGAATTTATAACCCTTTAAGTCACCGTGTGAAAATGTTTTTCCGTGATATAGAAATATGAAGTGGTCTTCATTCCTTTTGAGAACATTTGTAGGACAATTATTCTAATGATCAACATTACCTCTTTCTTGGCTTCTTTTTTGGGATCATAATCACTATCATTTCCATCCATTGGGTGTGTTTCTTCCACATCATCATCACTGAGAAGAGAAAGAGATTAGTAAACTTAATTCTTTCTTTTTATTCTATTCTAGTGCTCTTATCAAAGGGTAATATACCCTGCTGATAATTTTACTAAGTATTTCCCAACAGAACAAGTGCTGTTCTTGGGAAGGTGAACTTTTATAATTTAGATTTCTGTAGTGTTAAGAAACATTTAAGGCATATAGAATCATTTTAGCAAACATTTCTAGCCAGAAAAGAGATTGGATAGGAAAGATACTTAGAAAGAAATATCATTTGGGAAAAAGAACACATATATTAATTTGATGTAATACTTATTATTTCAGCTTCCAGTTGGACAGTAAACAGACAAAAACCAGTTAACAAAATTATTTTATACTACCATAAAGATACAGTTACAATAATGTGAACTTCTATTACTTGGGTAATTCTGGAAAGAGCATCTTCTATAGAACATATTTATTAGGTATATTTAATAGATTCTAAATATATGTATTAAATATATTAATACTAAAAGGAAGCATTTGTGATTAGAGTCGAACACAGATCAAATGTAACTCAGTTGCAATGTTTGCTGGCTATGATTAACAGTTAAAGGGTTAAAGAGAGTTCTTACTATTAAGATTTTTGATCACTCAGCTCTTCCTGTCAAAGCAGAAACATGAATGTAAGGATAAGAAGTACTTACAATGTGGTGTGATAATTTTTCTGCCTTAGAAATATAATCAATCCAAACAGTGTCCCTAACAACGTAACTATATAAAGGTATCCGACCTACCTGTCACCCTGATTATGTCTATTGGCTAGTTTACGAGCCTGGCGATCCATCAAACTTGTCCTGGATCGAGTTTTTTTCCAGGAATAGTAATATTTTACAAGGCTAGCAATTGTCTTATCTGGAAGCTTGAAAAAAAAAATCATGTTAATATCAGCTAGTTTAATTCATAAACTCCAATTAACAGAGTAACTACCTCTGATATTATTCTTTGATACTTAGCAAACAAAGGCATTGATAAAAACATTTTCATGGGTGCTTTTAAGAATTTTAAAGATAAAAAGCGGGTTATAGTCAAAGCACCCCACCCACACCTAGGTCACTGACATGCCTATTTGTTCTCAGGGGAGGGAGTTTCACACACACAGTGAGAGGGACCCCAGAAGTCCCCAGCACAGCCAGTGCTACTCAATTTTCCCCCTTATGTAAATTAGAATTCTTTACTGATATATAGTTCACATATCATAAAATTCTTTTCAGTTTAAGTGTACAAGTCAGCAGGTTTTAGTATACTTGCTACTATATGCAACCATCATTAAATTCCTGACATTTTCATAACCCCAGAAAGAAAGCCGATACCCATCAGCAGTCACTTCTTATTCCCTCCTTAGCCTAATCCCTACTGATCTGCCTGAACATTTCATAGATATGAAGTCAGACAATATGTGACCTTTTATATCTGGCTTCTCTCACTTAGCATAATGTTTTCAAGTAGAGCTATTCAATTCTTAACAATGATTTTTTAAATCATTTTGTTTTACACCCATGTTTTAAAATAATATATAATGCAAACACACTTTAGCTACCAAATCAAGTCTTTGGGTATTAAAATGACTAATGATCATGTATCGATTTGTCACACAGACAAACAAAGGTGCACATTTTCAATCAAAAATGTTTTTTATGATTATGGAAGACACTTAGATATATTTGCAAACATTATCTAGCTTTTATTCATTCAGGTTAAAAGTGTTTATTGCAGCAACTTCTCAGGTTTATATTATTTTAACACTAAAAATTTAAGAAGTAGAAATAAAGAGCAATTTTCTTCTAAAAAAAGAAAGCAACAGCGCCTGAAAAATACTGAATTATAGAATATTTAAAAATTGATCTTCATATCTAAAGGAATATAAATGGGAAAACAAAATCCTTATGTTAAAAAAATAAAACATTTAAAAATAAAATTGAAGTTATGATTTTTTTCCTTAGAATGACACTTTCTTTTAACAGTATTACACAAATATTTAAGTCATAATAAAAGTTAATTTATTACAATAAAATAACATGTCATGTATTAGAGCGACTGTAGACAACAGGACTGCATGCAAATATACCTATTTCAAATACTTTTAAAACTTAAATTCGGTTGGAAAACTTTTTTTCTATTTAGTATTTAGAGTGTTCAATATCAGCATAAGATATCACTCAGGTATGAATCAGAGTTAAGACCAAAATTACCATACCATTTGTTGAATCCTGTGAAAGCTTTTCCCATGAAAACTAAAGGCTTGTTCAAATAGGACTTTATCTTCCACTGTCCACTCATCCGGAAAGGGAGTAAAATTAGGAAGATCAGCAAGGGACTTCTCAATGTTATGTTTATGCCAGAACAACATGCCAAGTGCCTTTGAAGAGAAATCAATCCCCTTTGGTTTTTAATGGACTTATCACACTTAAGACAGTTAAACACAAATCATGTTACAATCTTAAGCCTATGACTTCAACTGAAGATACACGCATAGTTTAGGGCTTTTAATCAGGGTTGCCCAAGTAGTGGACCTCATTTCTTTTTCTATTTATTTCTTTTAAACCAGAGCCTCAGAATAGTGAATGTTCTCACGTACCATATTTGCTGCAGACTCTGGGAAACACAGTAAGCTGAGAGTGACTATAATTACTAAAGCAGGTTTGAAGGCTCTTATCAAGACTTCTACCCACATTTATTAATTTCTCAATGTGTAGAGGAAAATATGCTACAAGGAAAAATATCCAGTAAGCCAGTAATTGAATAAAAATTATCAATTATAACACAAAACTATAAGTGCTCAGTTGAGACTTAGTGGAGAAATAATTGTTTTAACCTTTTAGAAATATATCATGGACTAAACACTTCCAAGAAGAGTACCTCAACCACAATTGTAACAATCTTTTATCACATATATTTTTTAAATTCTTTATTATCATAATGTACATAAAAAATTATGGAGGCATATTAGTAACTTTAATGATTTTATTAACAAATCATAGGAAAGCCTGAAATGAATGATTTCCAACATTCCACAAGTTCCTCTTTTATTACAGGCAGGCTTTTATCTTTACAGTAAGGTATGGATATCATTTGAGAGGTTAAGTTTTATTTCTTAAGACACTTAGCAACTTTTTAAATATTGAGTTTTAATGTTAATTTCTATACTTTGGTAATATTTTAAAATAAAACATGGAAATGAACATATGTACAGTCTCATTTCAGAGAATTAACTTCCTTAAATATTAAACATGAAGTCAAGGCTTAAAAACCAAATACATAATCAAAGGCTTCAAAATTCACAAAAAAAGATAACTATATTTAGATAAACATCTCAATTTCACAAAAATGATTTTTTTATTATATAACCATGTTACTGACTATAAAGTTAGCTCTTATTAATCCAGGTTACAGGTAATTGACTTATTTTACTAGTAATTCAGGCAAAGGTTGATCTAATACTTAATTGAAATGAGACTTAAGAATGATTCCATGTTCTCCAATCTTTCATTAGTATGGGATAAATAAACCATAAGCTATATATATAGATATACAGATATATAGATATATATCTATCTCCTTTTAAAGTTATCTGCCCTGGCTCGTGTGCCTCAGTGGATTGAGGGCCAGCCTGTGAACCAAAGGGTCGCTGGTTTGATTCCCAGTCAGGGCACATGCCTGGGTTGGGGCCAGGTGCCCAGTAGGGGGCATGCAAGAGGCAACCACATATTGATGTTTCTCTTCCTCTCCCTTTTCCTACACTCTTCTCTAAAAATAAATAAAATCTTAAAAAAAGTTATCTAACTTTTACAAAATGTTTTGTGAATTATTTCACTCACAGTTTAAAAGTCTTCAATATTTCTTTAAATAAAAAATTTAAGTTCTTTTGGATTAAAAAGTCAAAGAGAATGATCTGTACTCAAAAAGTTTTCCCTTTTTGGTAAGTATTTGCCAGAGTAATCCTGAAGGCCTTCATTTCAGATACTTTTAAAACCCAAAGTACAACAAGAAACAGAGGTACTTAGAGAAAAATGTTCAAGCCCTTGAGACAAGTTAACGTTGATAAAAGCAAATTCTTAATGTTGAAAGGTCATATTTTGCTAGGACTTTTGGTGTCGTCAAAGTTGGTTGAACTGTTGCACTATTAGGACAGAAATAATCATGAGATGTTCTTTGGACTTCATAAATACTGAGGCAAGCTTTAATATTAAAATGTTTCTTTACATACCTGTTCCACATTGTAGCCATGTTTCTCCTTTGCAATGGCAATATATTCATCCACTGTAATGAAACAATGTTATACAATTAATTATATTTACTACATTTGCCCAGGTATACATTGTTTTTTAACAAAGCAGAATAATTTCTATTCCAGTGGTAAAAAAATAGCCAAATTCATTTTCCATTAAATATTACAAAAGACTTTTAGTTCCATGAACAGGATCAGAAGTTCCCTTGGTTTAAAATTTTACTTTGTATGACTTCTTTCTATGACTATATAGCATGTACTTATTAAATTCAATTACTATAATTATTTTTGTATACAAAAAAAATCAATCTGAGGGTAGCCAAGAGACCCTAATTACAAGTAAAATATTAGATAATTTATTGATTTTTTTCTTTTGCAGTCTTTATTTGAAGTTACTTAGCTATTTAAGAACCTATCTCAATATTTAGAGTTGGCCCAAAGCCTTTATCTTCTCATTTTGTCAGCTATACATAGTAACAACATATTTAGGTATGCTTCGATACCCTTAACATTTTCTTCAGCTCTTCCTTCTAGGTACACAAAAGGTGTTTGAATATTCCAGTTTCATTCATCCTCCATATGAAATCAAGCCAATAGAGTTATTTAGATAAGCACAGTGTCTGATGATATACTGGCTATTTCAAGGCCTCATTGCTGAGAAGTCTGCCATTTCACATTCATCAAGACTCAGTTTTATGTGAAGTCTATATAGTCATTCTTGATCCACATATATTATTATTATATATGTACATATGTGTATGTCTATATACACATATATACACAAAGATTCTTTAAGCAAATTTTTGAGAAGCAGTGGTTAAGAATTCTGATCCTAGAACATCTAGTCTGCCTGAGCTTAATTCTCAGCCTTGTTGTTAAAGAGTTTTAACTTTAGGCAAGTAACTTGACCTTTTTTGTACCTTAGTTTTCCTCACTCTAAATGGTGATAAAAACAGTACCTTCCTCTTAGGAATAAATGAGCTAATACATGCAAAGTGCTCAGAATAGCAACTGGCACATTTTAAGTACTTTATAAGAATTTGTTATCATTATTAGTCAGTACAGTAAAAATTAATACATAAATATGCTATTAGAAAAATAATGGTGTTAGAATAACTATCTTTTATGGATGTTATTATATCTCCCTAAGACTGTAAGCTTTTGATACAGAAAATCCATATATATTTTGTTTAGAATCCATAGTACTTAAACACATGAGAGTTCTAAATCTATACTGATTAAACTTTAACAATAATGTCTTATAATCCTATAAATAGAGGGCTAAACAATACCAATCAACCCATGGTTTTTAACCCTGGCTATGCATTAGAATCAGCAGAGGAGCTTTTAAAAAGTCCAGCCTCTACCTCTGAAAACTCTGATTGAATTGGCTTGAGATACAGAACAGTATTAGTACTGTTTGTTTTTCAGACTTTCCCCCAAGTGATTCCAATGTGTAGCCCTAAATCTCCTGGAGGATACTCCACATGGATGCTATTCTACCAAGAAATGTTGGTTTTCTGAATTTTGTTTACCACTTTGCTAAGAAAGGCACCATTGTACAAAAGAGTGCTAAAATAGCAAAAGCCAATGACACCCTGATACTCAGTTTGTGAATGAAAACCTGTGACTATAGTGAGGACTGAAGCAAAGAAATCTGAGTCTCTTTCAGGTTTCTCAGTATATAGTCCCAGGCCAAATACAATTTCATGTTTTTGTTTAAGAATGCCTCAAGAACATTTAATTCCTAGATTACCAGCTAGACCTTGTGCTAGTATTTTAAAGCTCTTAAATAGGAAGAATTATCAGGTATGCAGAATATTACTCAGTTTTCAATTTTTAGTTCTCCTATTGCATCTGTAAGTATAGACTTACTATGCACATGGTCACTATTTTTTATGGGACTAAATAAACCATCATGGGACAGCTATAAGATTAGTAAATTTTTTTAAAAGATAAGCTTATTTTACAGCTGCTAGAAAAACTGTTCAGTGGTTTTTGTTTGTTTGTTTGTTTTTAGTAAATTCAATGATAACTAAATGGAGGGGCAGGGATCTTAGTTTTGTTACCTGCACGTTTCCTATATCTGATGTGCCGCAAAGGATCAGGTCCGCTACATCACATGGAAGTCTAAAGCCACACCATGATTCAAGAGGTGCATGGTCAATGATCCAGAAGGTCTCAGTCCAGAAATGGAGAGCACAAAGATGACCTGATTGATGGCTGCTGGAGTCAGTCCTTTCCCCTTTCCTCTTTAAAATGGTAATGATAGTGGGCTCTTTGAAGTTTGAAGGCATTTCTTTACATCTCCATGCACTGAGGCAAAGCCTGTGCAGATGTCTATATAGTAACTCCCTCCCCTGCTTGAGGGTTTAAGCAGCACTGCCATCACATCCTAGGTCTCCTCTGTCTTCCTGGGCCTGACACAAATTGGAATGATCAACCCACTGCCTTTCAAAAGGAAAAACATTCTAATATAACAACCTCCATCAAAACACAAAACAAAATCAAAGACAAATTGGTTTTTCTTACAAGAATTAAGGGACCCAGAAACAAATATAAATTGCATTTTGAATTGGTTGGTAGATCCTTATTGACACAAACGTTCAATTTCAGAAAACTTACATTTGGCGTCTGGGATACTGTGATATGGAGACCATACAAGCATTCCTCCATTGTCTTTATCTGTGTACTTTGTAGCACCTGTGGGAAAAAGTAATTACTTTGAATATGGTGGATTTTTATTTACATTCAAAATTAATGTAAGCAATGTTAGTTTACTTCTATTTTACTACAGTACCTGCAAAAGAGGGCAAAGAAACAAAGTACAAAAAAAAAAAAAATTAAGAGACGGAAAACAGACTGCCATTACCCCCTTTAAATTAAAAAGACTTTAAGTACATTACACATCTCTCCTTCACAGATAACTCTGACTCAACCTCATATACATTACTTAGGAGTCATTAAAAACTCTTTTAAAACCATAGAGAATACCTCAGGTGGTAAGTTAACTGTTTTGCCCTATATCTAACTGGGCCAAGATTACTGTAATTTTTAAATAACTGTATCTGCTTTTCATGGTTTTTATTTAATCTTATTACTTGCTAGAAGTCTGCCAGCTATTCCTTTTTAGACTTCATTTATTACATTTTATATTTATAAAAGTATGTGCTCTGTGTAAGAAGAAAACAAAGTGAAAAAAAGTAAAAGTTAGTAATGCTTTCTTTTTAATCTATCTCTAACCTAGAAACATACCGCTGCTATTTCTAAATTACTTCTAACCTGTTATAATCTAGAAAGTCAGAAAAATCAACCTCTACTGAAACTGCATGTAAATTAAGAGAGAGTATGAATGCCTGACACAGCTATTCCAGAGCCAAGTACATGCTTTTGGGGTCTGGTCTTTTTTTTGACTTCTTCCTAATTCTTAAGTGCATTCAAGTTAATTAAAACTATCAACAAATGAAGAATTGTTTATGAACACGTCCTAACTGACTTTTACAAAGTGTTGGTAGCTACCAGCAACTAATGGCCAGAATTTCAAAATTATTCACATTAGAATTCTGAAGTTAAACTGTAACCATTTACAAAGTTATAGGATATCTGGAATACAGAACATTCTTTCCAGGGACAAAGGAATCACTAGTATAACCTTAATCTAGAGAAGTTATCTATCAAGCAATAATATCAATTATTTCTAATTTTTGGAGAATCATCATACATCACTACTGTACTTTCAACAAATGTTAGAGAATGATACACTTACTGAAATATGCAGCTAAAATTGTTTTAAAAATTTATATCTCTTTTACTATATGGAAAAGTTAAGGATGGAGAAAATAGAAATGAAAGAACACTATCAAAGCACAATATTAGAAAACAATTTTAAAAACATAATTACACAATAAATCTAAAAGCAAAACCTATCACATTTTGTCATAAGTATCTCTAATAAAAGAGGATAAAAATAGGAGCTAAGAATTTAGGAAAATGCAAGTTAGAAGTACATTACCTAAAATTTATATTCAATGAGAATAAATTTTAATGTCTTTTAAAAACTTCAATATTAAAATACACCTTTAATTAAAATGGGTGAACAATGACTATAAATTAAATGAATAGCCAGGGCAACAGGGAACCCAAGGCAACTGCTTGGCTCTCTGGCTCCCTGGCATTTTGTAAGGTTTTGCCTTCCTTCATCAACCACAGTGCACTGCAGCGGGACTTCATTAAACAGGCACTGAGTGTGGGTTTTCAATACATTCTTGGTGTCACAGTGGCAAGAAAAACTATTAGAAAATGTTTCCTACTTGGGGTATAACTTCTAAAATCCCTAGTGATTGGAGCACCTGCTTCATTGGGCAAATCGTATGAACTTTAAAGGACAGACTTGCAAACTGCTTGGAATGATGACTGACCCTATTACCTTCAATTATGAGGCAAGGGGGAGAGAACAAATGGAAAAACTGGATTCAAGCAGAACAAGTTTAATTACACAGGACTGAGTGAACAGATGAGAAGGATTATAATTTTATGACTTTTTATTTGAAATTCTGATTTCTAAAATCTTTTGTTTTCCACATATAAAGAATCTCTCTTAAAGTACCTGTGATCTAGAGCAATTTAGTAAATTACACTTTTGTAAGCATTTGAAATATTTTTTTCTCTCACTCATCCCTCCAGACTTTGGAAACTTTCAATGATTACTTTTATTTTCAAGGCAATATGTTTGTTTCCATTAAGTTCAGTAAGAATTGGTTCTCTTTATAACAGGACACAAGGCTTAGACTGGAATGTCCTATTTGAGAGAAATATGCATAGGTTCAGATATGATCAGAAAGCTTTAAGGAATTACAATTAACTCTGGAAGCCAATAAAAAGTTCCTTGGAAAAAATGCCTGGTATCTTGCTGACATGATTCACAGTAGCCTTTCCAGATAACGAACAAAAGTTGGTCTCTGGGGGAATTCAAGTAAAGAACATCAGGATCCACTGGGTACTTTCAGGAGAGAGGAACTGGCCGCAGTTCTAAAGGTACTGTGGGTAGTCTGATGGTAAGTATAAGGCTTGGCTTCTTAGCCTTGAGAGCTTTTTTCCAAGTTCAGTCAGAAAAATCCTTATGGAGAATTCCAGCAAAGCAGAACTGAAAGAACCTATGTGGTTAATTACTTTTCTTAATGGACTTATACAAATAATCAGGCCAAGTTTACTGAAATTAGACTCATTTCACAAATATATCATGTCTTAATTTGGTTATCCTTGGTAAAGGTGGGGGTGATTTTAGAGAAAAAAATTGTTTCAATGGAAACCATATACCTTTGTGGATAATTAGATCTTAGTTTTGACTGTTTTTTAATTTTTTATTTTTACCTATAAACTGGACTGGATCCTGAATTTTTCCAGTTTTCCTGAACATTTGGCTGCACCCCTCCAAAATGACATTTTCATTTTCCTACCCTTTGACTTGGAATCTCTGAGAACTAAAACAGCCCTCTTTCCAAGGCCATGAAAGCTAAAGCGGGATGACTTGACATAGACTCCAGAAAAATCACAACCATAGCTCATCTTTGGACAATCTTTGTGCTTGCTGCAGGAAGATCATCTGACATTCACACTGTACACCAGAAGACTCTAAGAGACTGTAACTGCCTGCATGCGTTTCATCTAAAGATGACTCGAGACCGAAATCTAGAAATCTTCTTGACTGCCTGCTGTCCAAACTCGGAAACCAAGATTATAGTCTGCTCCAATGACTAACCTTTTTCTTGTTTCCATAGAGATGCCTCTCATTAAAGACCTGATTGCCTGCACCATAGGCTTAACTTTGGGAGCCTACCTGGATCATTACTTCCTGAGATGATACAACTGTTTACCTACCTGAACTTTTCTCAAGACTGAGACTGGTTTAATGAGATACAGAACAATCTACTGAGCCAAATTCTGGAATGTGAAACTTCCAGGGAGGTTTCAGAGGAGGGAACTGTGGGGGTCCAGAGTGAGTCACTCCCAAGATGTGCCTCTATGGGATGCAGACTGTTTTGAGCTAAAGGCTACGTTAGCCACAGGCTCAGAAGAAACTTCTGCCTTCCACCCTTGACTTCCTAGAAAAATCTGAATTAGAGAGCTTGCCCATAAAGATTATCAGCGATAAACTTTTTGATCTACTTACACAGCAGAGCAAACTTTTATTTACTGAGTATCTGCTCTCCTTATCATCCTGCAATGACCCTTTCAAGCCTCCGACGCTCATTACCTCATCCCTAGCTGAGAATGTCTTATACGCTACCCCTGTCTATCTCGGACTCTCTCACGGTGGGGTTCTTGTACATATAAGTGCAAAAAATTTTATTTTCTCTTACTAAAAACATATCATATATATTTAGTTTTAACCAATATATAAATAATATATATTTATTTTAACCATAAAATAAAAACACAATAGCAAAAGAGCCCAATCACTCAATGGAAATACAGATCTTATCTAAACTGATCAGAAGCCTTTTATTATTATTATTTTTGTCCTCACCCAAGGTCATGCTTATTGATATCTTACTGATACTGGAGAGAGGGGAACGGAGGCAGAGAAATATCAATGTGAGAGAGAAATAATGACTGGCTGCCTCTCACACATGTCCTGACGGGACTGAACGTGCAACCTAGGCATGTGCCCTGACAGGGAATCAAATCTGTGACCTTTCGGTTTTAGTGGATGACGCTCCAACAGAGCCACACTGGCCAGGGCAGAAGCCTTAACTTAATTAATAAACTCTATTGCTATTTCAAGTGAGTATCCTAAACTTCAGTCTTTTAACATGGTTTTAACATAGCACTGATTCTTTTTCACAGTGGATTGTGAAAATAAGATAATTTATATCCTACTTAATTAAACACAGACTGCAACAAAGATTCCCATTAAGTCTCAAGTCTTAATAGCATATCATACTTAATATTTAAATGTATTTCCCTGCTTTACAGATTCTTGCATTACAGGTCTGAATCAAAATATCTTCATTAGCCCTGGCTAGTGTGGCTCAGTGGACTGAGTGCCAGCCTGCGAACCAAGGGGTCGCCAGCTCGATTCCCAGTACAGGGCGTGTGAGAGGCAATGACACACTGATGTCTCTTTCTCCCTCTCTTCCTCTTTCTCTAAAAATAAATAAAAATAAAATCTTAAAAAAAAATACATCTTCATTATCTCTTCTTAAACAAATTTAAACTTCTTAAAAAATATTTCCCCACCCTAGCTGGGCAGCTCAGTTGGTAGAAGCATCATCCTGTACACCAAAAGGCTGCAGGTTTACATAGGAAAGGCCGCGAATGTTTCTCTCAGATTATGTCTCTTTTCCCCTTCCTCTCTCTCTAAAAAAAGTCAAAGAGGATTTTTAAAGAAGTAAATAATAAAAAATATTTTTCCCGTGAAGAATAATAGTTAAGTTCTCACCCAAATTCTTAGCACTGTAATTAAAGGCTTGATCTGACAGGAACTGGCACACAAGCTGTGGGGACTAACAGCTCTATGAATATGGACGAATGGGTATGTGCACAGCAATCCTGTCTGCTAGCAGAGAACACCTGATCAGGCACTTCACAGTGTTCTTTCCCTAACCCATGAACTGGACTCCATCATTTTCTATCACATATGTGTTGATGAGGCCTAAGAGGTGACTGAAATTCATAGAAAATGACAGACATTTTAGTACAAT